GACGACGACGACGACGGACGACGACGACGACGGCGACGGCGACGGCGACGGCGACGGCGACGGCGACGGCGACGGCGACGGCGACGGCGACGGCGACGACGATGACGGCCACCACCACGAAAACGACGACGACGACGGAAACAAAAGCTGTGAAGGCGATGATGACAACGACGCGTTCGACGACGCCGACGACGGCGACAACGTCAGCGGCGGAGGCGGCGCACACCTGCCGCCGGCGCCCGCGCCCACGGCCAGATCCGATAGAATGCTACTAGGGCCCAGTCCAGCTCGAATAGAAGCCTGTTTCGGGGATGGACAGACCTCCCTTTAGTAAAATGCGGTTTAGTGAAAACGACCTGAGGCCCAAACCTGGCGGGCGCAAGCCTGGAAAATCACGGCCGCGGCGCCCTCTCGAGAACCGAAAAAGGACAATTCACTAATCGACGCGTCACTGTTGGGGGTTCTGTCCGCCTGGAACTCGTGCCGCTTCTGTCAGAAACTTCTTGGTTTGGGATCTAGCTCGGATCTAATTCTACGGGGGCGCAGTCCAGCTCTGATAGAATCCGGCGATGGCTTGATCCAGCTCTGACAGCATTCTGCTACCAGGCCTGGATCGAGCTCTACTGGATCGGACTCTAAGGGGTCCTACTAAAGCTCAACCCAGCTATGATACAATCGTATTCGGTTGAAACAACAGTAGAACCCTGGGACGGCTCGATCCAGCTCTACTACATTCCTATTATATTTGAAGCCAGCTCTAAAATAATCTCACCTGGGGGAGATCCTGACCTCGAAGAATTCCAACGAGGCTAGGTCTAGTTCTATTAGATCTCTTATGGGGTTGGACCCAGCCCTCATTAAATGCTATCTGGGCACGATCCATCTCGAACACAATCCTGCGAGGGCTCCATCCAGCTCTAAAATTTATCTTTCTACGCGTCGATCCAGCTCTCTCAGAATCCTACTCGGGTTTGACAAGGCTGATAAACTCCTACTTGGGCTCGAACAAGCTCTCAAGAAAATCCGATGAGGTTTGGATCCAGCTCTAATAACATCCTTCCAGACATCGACCCACCTCGAATAGAATCCTACCACGGCTGGGTCCAGTTCTGTTAGTATCATATAAGGACTGGATCTGCTTGAATTCTGCCAAGGCCCGGTCCGGCATCCATGACACATCACTCTAGGAATGGGTCCAGCCCCAACACAATCCAACGGAGGCTCAATGCATCTTTAAAAAATGCTACGAGGGCTGGAACCAGCTCTAAAAGGATCCTATCAGACCCCAATCCAGCGTTCATCGCCTCCCACTGAGGCTCGATCGTCGTCGTCGGCGTCGTGGTAGGCGTCCTCGTCTTCGTCGTGGACGTGGTTTCGTCGTCATCGTCGTAGTCGTAGTCGTTGTTGTTGTCTCCGTTGTCTTTGCCGTCGGCGTCGGCGTCGGCGTCGGCACCGGCACCGTCGTCGTGGTCGTCGTCTGTCGTCGGCGTCGTCGGCGTTGTCCGTCGTCGGCGTCGTCGTCCTCGTCGCATCTGTAGCCGGCGGCGGCGACGTGGTCGTCGTCGTCGTCGTCGTCGTCGTCGTCGGTGCCGCAGCGGGGTGTCTGAATCCCTCAAATCAAGTTGCCTGGGAGCTGGGGAAGAGTTCTGGACCCGTCAGAATAATTTTCCTGGGGGGGATATTCTCGACGCCTCCGAATAATTTCCCAGAGGGGGATGGGAGGGCGGGTTCCGACACCCCCCCCATCCCGCCTGGTTTTGGGGGATGGGGGGGTGGCGGGTTAACCCCCCCCCCCCTGGCAGCAGCGGCAGAAAGCGTTCTTCCTGTGTTGTTTTACATGGTGGCTTGTTCGAAATGGTACGTACTGCCTGGTGTAATCGGTTAGTGGTAGACTCTAGTCTGGCAGCATAGAACACACACACACACACACACACACACACGCACGCACGCACGCACGCACGCACTCTCACACACACACACACACACACACACACACACACACACACACACGCAATGGTCTGATGTTGCGTGATCTGACATGGTCCCATGTAACCTGGCATTGAGAGGAACAGCGGGGAGAAAAGCAGGAGGAGCAGGCGAAGCAGCCACACCATGCGGAGAGTCGAAAACAGCGGTGTGGCACCAGCAGTGGGCGGCACTCGCCAGCCTCTTAGAGCCCTACTGCGCCAAGGCCAAGCCAGTGCACCTAGCTGGTCCCCTAGGCGGCAGCCCCACCAGGCGGGAACCCGACGCGATGGCGCCACGGCTCAGCTCCGAACCCTCGGCCATGGCGCAGACATTGGTCCCCCCCCACGCCGCTGTCGCCCAGCCCGCAGCGCACACTCGACCATACGAGGCGCCCAACGCGTCAGCACCACCTCCTCATCGCCCCTTTGAACCACTCGGCAGACCACCCCGGCGGCGCGCGTCATCTTTCCCCGCACTGGCCCCCTCCCGGCTCCGTTTCCCTCTCCTTTGACGCCCCGGCCGCGTGCTGTCCACCCCGGCAGCGTGCGGCTCCCTCGGCCTCGGCCGCTTCAGCTCAACAGCTCCCGCACCGATTAGGTGCCCCTTGACTCGGCCCGCACTGTCCACCCCGGCAGCGCGCGGCCTGTCGGCCTCGGCCGCAGCTTTGACAGGCTTGGCGCCGTGGCCGCGTGCTGGCCACCCCGGCAGCAAGCGGCCCCGCCCAGCCTCAGCCGACTCCCTCACTTGTTCCGCACCGACTAGGTACCCTCAGTCTTGGCCTGCACAGTCCACCCCGGCAGCGCACGGCCCCGCGGCCTTGGCCACAGTTTTGATACAGGCACGGCCTCAACTCCCCCTTGCTGGCAGCCCTGGGCGTGCCTCAGCTGCCCTGGCCCGCCGACCGGGGCAGCGCGCAGAGGACTGCAGCAGCACGGTGCGCGGGCCGCCTGCCCACCACCCCACCCGCCGGCGCTGGCGCCGGCGCTACCGCCCCGCACTGCGGGGATCACCCTGCAGGCGGGGCGCTCCTCTTCCTCGCCCTTCACCCCCCCCCTTCGCCGTTCTTTTCCTCCCCCCCTCCACGCGCCGCCATGGCGCTCGCGAGGCTGCCGCAGCTCGCAGCTTCCCCACGTGGTCGGGCACCTGGGTCCGGTTTTGCCGCCTGTCCCCCTCCGCGGGCCCAGCATTTTGCTGGCTGTAATTGCCGAACCCTGTCACGTGCCACCCACCTGGGCGGCCTGCGGTCCTCGCTCTGTCGACCCAGCACCCCGTGTACTACTTCGGCGACGTCGCTGCAGCGTGCACTTGCTTTACCCGCACTGGGCCCCGTCAGCGCCCGTGGGTGCCTCGGCGCCGCGGCCTGGCAGCTGCAATGGATCCCGCTGGCGGGGCTGGCCGCGCCAGCACACTCAGGTGAGAACTCTTCCAAATCTGAGTGGCCCTCCCCCCCCGCGGCCGCCCGCTCTGCCCTCTTCCCACTCTTGCATGATGCTGGCCAATTCGCTTGTCGGTGTCCCCGTCTAGCTCTGTCGCTGGTGCAGCCAACTCTGCCTCGCCGCCGACGGAAACAAATTGCTCGAAGTGGTACGTACTGTCTGGTATTATCGGTTAGTGGTAGCGTCTGGTCTGGCATCATAAAACACGCACGCACGCACGCACGCACGCACGCACGCACGCACGCACACACACGATGGTCTGATGTTGCGTGATCTGACCTGGTCCGATGTAAACGGGCTTGAGAGGAACAGCGGGGAGAAGAGCAGGAGGAGCGGGCGAAAGAGCCACACCATGAGAGTCGAAGGCAGCAGTGTGGCACCAGCGTTGGGCGGCACTCGCCAGCCTCTCAGGGCCCTACTCGGCCGCCTTTCCAGGGGAATCTTACGCAGTCCTGGGCGTATCTCAAGGATGTGGACTTCTCTGGGGGGCGTCTGTGGAACGTTGCAGTCTCGTCATGGAATCCTCTTGGGGCCCCCCTCGACCGTCGTAGCGGCGTCATGTGCGCCCCTGGGAATGTTCCTGGGACGTGGGATCAGAGTCGCCTCCAGAGAGGCTCCCATATGGCTTCGTAGATGCCTCCTGGCGTCTCAAGGGCTACTCAGGCCACCTTGGGATTCTACTAAGAAGGGGTGTCTGCGCAACATCAGATCCGTTGGAGGCCCCCTTAGAGGTTAAACGTTGCTACGCCATGTGGCTGCAAAATTTTGATTACACGTCGGCGACTTCGATCTTAGAGTCGACGAATCAGGCCTCAGGACCCAGAGATCCGCCAAAATTGGGCGCTGGGGGGGGTCGGTACAGCAAGGACTGGAGGCACGAGCTCAGGGAACGATTCTATGCCACCAGCGGCCGAGACGGACGAGACGGCTGGCGGGACGAGCTTCAGGCTTGTCGCCGTGCATGGGCTGCAGTACGCTTCCGCATGGTCCAGGAGGCACTCTGAAGGGCACGGGTGACCAGGACCTCCTTACTAGATGGGCGGTGGCTCAGTTTCGAAATCATGCGCTCACTGCGGCGCTGCGCACGATTCCTCGATCGAAGCTTATACCAACTGCATGGCCGGAACGCGTTCATTCGCAATACACGAATGAATCGCAGAGCTACGTGGTCGAGTCTTGATGTGGTCGTCGATGCGCACTGCAAAATCGAAAATGTCATCACCGTTCCAATTACGGGCCGAGGATGCATGGATGAAAGAGTGCCATTGGAAAGCTACTCATCCTTACGTTGCTGCTGCGTCTTCGAGATGTGTTAACCCTCAAAATCCAGAATGTTTGACAAGCTCACGGGAACCCCTGGTGCTCGCCGCAGTAAGAGCGAACACCCATGCTGACATATCAGGATGCATTCTCGGACAGGAGGCTGTATTGCAACATCGATAACTTGTACTGTGGATGCTCAGGCACCTCTCCTCCCTCCTCCTCCTCCTCTTCCTCCTCCCCCTCCGCCTCATCGTTTTCACCACCACCACCATCACCATCACCGTCCCTCGCCATCCCATCATCCTCCCCTCGCCCGTGGCAGTAAGGAGGCAC